TTCTCTTCTAACCGCTGCTGCTCCTTCTTTTTCTCTCTTGCTTCTCTTTTCTCTTTTCTAACTACTCCTTTTCTTCTTCTTTCTTCTTCATTTTGAGCTTTTTTGGAATCGGTTGCCTCCAGCTACGGGAGCGTGGAGTTGCTCACTGTAGAGGCACTAAGCTCACTGTTGTTGGTGTCATGCAGCCCAACATCCTCTGGATCGACGTTGATGGGCTTCACGACATCGGATCCTCCCCCGGGCTCCATACCTCACGCGGTGAAGCGCACATGAGGTAACCTGCTCTAATACCACTTGTAGGATCTCTAATACGTCTAGAGGGGGTGAATAGGCATGTAATAATTCAACTCAAATCGAAGTCAAATTCACCAGCGGCACTGTCGCTCTTTGAGCGCGGCACTGCCGCACTTGTAGGAGAGATTAGTTCACAGTTCAAAATCTATCCAATAAAATTTAGATCGGGTAAATTTCTTAGCTTCCTGTAGGGTGGTAGATCACAAATCGATGGCTAAAAGTGGTGGGAACACCACACATAAGTAGATCGGCCTCAATCCTAGAAATCACCTCAACAACAACAAGAACACAAGTGTAGCAACACAAGCACAGGATGACACAAGGATTTATCCCGTGGTTCAGCTCGCCACCAAAGCTTGCCAAAGTCCACATTGTTGAGGTATACCACTAAGGCTTAGGGATTTGCAACCCTACCTCATTATCAAGTCAAGAGAGTGAACTCTTGAGATGAGAGGTGATTTTACTTGCTGCAAGATGTGGTTACAAACCTCCCGGGGCTACCACATAAGTTGGCAAGCTCACCGTGCGATGCTCTAGCCGGCTAGGAGCCAAGCTCCAAAAGTAACAAACACAACCGCTGGCCAAAACGTGAACCAAGTGCTCTTTAGAGTTTGGAATCAATGAAGATGCTCTCTTATCAAGTTTTGGACCCTTATCCCTCAAGGATTGATGGAGAAATCAATGGATTTGTTTGGGGGCTTGAGGTCAACAATGGAGTGAGAGAGAGAGAGAGCTCCTGCTTTGTTTTGAATGTGCTGAAGTGAGGAAGAAGGGAGCAGGTTGGTTCGTTTTCGTGGGAAAAGAAAGGGAAAGGTATATATACCCCCAGGCCCCCAACGATCACTTAAATCGCAGATAGCCGCTGGGGAAAAAAGAAAAGGTATATATACCCCTAGCCCCCAACGGATATTGCACCCAAGAGGTCAGGCGAGATGAGGTCCGTGGCCTTGAGGTCAGGCAAGATGAGGCCGCCACCAAAGGGTCGGGCGAGACGGAGCCCGCGACCAAAGGGTCGGGCGAGACGGAGCCCGCGACCAAAGGGTCGGGCGAGACAGAGCCCGCGACCAAGGGTCAGGCGAGACGGAGCCCGCAACCTTGGGGTCGGGTGAGACGGAGCCTGCGACTAAAGGGTCGGACGAGATGGAGCCCGTGACCAAAGGGTCGGGCGAGCCAGAGCCCACGACCTTGGGGTCGAGCGACACGAAGCCTGCGACCAAAGGGTCGGACGAGCCGGAGCCTGCGACCTTGGAGTCGAACGAGACAGAGCCCACGACCTTGGAGTCGGGCGAGACGGAGCCCACGACCAAAGGGTCGGGCGAACCGGAGCCCGCACCTAAGGGGTCGGACGTATCGGAGCCCACACCCAAGGGGTCGGACGAGTCGGAGCTTGCACCACGCAAGACAGTAAGGATAATAGTGAAGTGTAGACTATCTTGGCTGTGAATCTGAGGATATATGTGGTTATTTGAGCATTTGGTAGCACAGATTAGTTTAAGCATTGTGCCCCTTTATAGCACGTTTTTTCCTATATTCAAATTCAATATATTAAAGAATTTAAACCTCCTTTGAGTTTGAAGCCATCTATATTTGTAGTTGGGGGCTCCTCCGTTTCGTGTAGCATCCTCAAATATAAATTTCTTATTTGTCATCTCGATAAATCTTATTAGTTCTCTAATTACGAGGTCATTATCACCAAAACCCACCATTAAGACTTGATTGCGCTATCAGAAAGTAGCAGTAGTAAAAAAACGTTAAGACTATTAAATGCTACTAGGTGATGGACGATGGAAAGGTTGGGGAGTTGGGATTCGTTTAACCTTCGTAGGAGAAGGAATTTTGGGGGTGTTTTTGTATGTACCGAGGTGCCACGTGTTGATCTGTCATGGATCCATTCACGATCATTATGTTTTTTTAGTGTGAACGACGAAGCAGTTCCAACCAGATTATACTTTCTATATCTATATAGTTTATTTTCAGACAGAGTTATGTATCACATTTTCATGGTGCATATTTTTTTTTAAAAAAACAAAGGAAATAGGAAAGAATTACGAGACCCATGCATCTGCTTCCTTGCATTAGAATATCGAGAACTTCAAACGCGGCCTGAAACAGGAAGTAAACGAGGGACAACGCACTATATAGGCAGAAAGCCAGGAACTCCATCCCACGTGGATATCTATTTTTATGGTCGTATATAAACAAACAAACCTAAATCTTCACTCACTGGTGTGTGATCTCTTTTGCGTTTTTTCCCTTTTTGCGGAAGATGATGGTGTGCCAATGCAAGGACTTTCAGAGGTTCAGAAGGCAATCATGCATATGATGGGTGCTCCAGAAAAAGGGAAACATGCATGTACAATTCCAGCACATGCATTTTATTAGCTAACGGTAACATCGGAACATGGATGTCAAGCTCATTGTGGATCCAGCACCCATCCATGTCATCCTGGATTACATTCTGATTTTAAGGACCAGGCTAGCCGTAGTAGGGCTGGCTGGCTAGTAGGCACAGATCATGTTGTCACCACTTCTCCAAAAGAAGATGACTTGCAGAAAGCGATGCATACACCGCAACGTGTTTGGCAGGGTCTTTTTAGGGCTCTGGCTCCTGCACCTTGTATTGTACGTAGCTGTTTTTTTTTTGTCTCTGATAAAATGAAGGTGAAGCTAAAAGAAGTCATGATTTGTGGCTTCTTTAGCCCGGGCTCCTATGATACTGTAGCGTGAAGCCGAAGCCCGAAAGAACCTAGCCAAACGGGACCTAAGGAATTTATCAGCGGGACCTAAGGAATTTATCAGCCTAGGAATGGAACGCAAAAGTAAGAACGACAATAATAACACTACCAATAATGGCCATATAGAACAAGGAATACATAGATCGAACAGAATCAGTATCTCTATTCCCTAATAAAGCCTGCGCTTAGGCAGTTGAAGACGGAAGCCCAGACCACTCTCGCCCCCACGTCGCTCCCCCACGCGGGCGACACGGGCAGCCGCTCCCTCCCAAACCCTAGCAGCCGCCCCTTCCCTCCCCTCCCCCTGCCATGCCGCCGCCGGAGTTGGCCGCCGGCATGGCGGTGGCGGGGCTCCTCCTCTCCTCGCGATTTGGTGGCGCAGGTGACAGCAAGCCGGCGGCTCTCCTCCCACACGGGTTGTGTGGAGTCCGGCGGGGGCATCCGCTGCGGCTATTGGCGGCGCCGACTGGTGTCCGGCTGGCGCGTGGGGACGGCGGTGGATCCCCTTCTCCCTTGCCCGTCCCTTCCTCTAGACTTGGTGGCGGCAGCGTTGGCCCGGATCGCTGGATCGAGTCTGGCGGCTGGATCCGGTGTCCACGCGGCCAGATTTGGAGCTCCGGCGCTGGATACGGCACTCTCTCGGAGGGCTGGCGAGGGCGGTGGCTGGCCAAGGCGGAGGCGGCGGCGACAACAAAGGGTGGCGGCACCGGTGCTCTACTGCCGATTCTGACGCCACTGGGCAGGGGGCGGCGCCCACAAGGGTGGGGCACGTGTCTGGTGGTGGCTAACGTCGGGTCGCAGCGTCGGCAGCACGTGCCAAGAGCCGGCGACAACGGCCGGCTGAGGCGTTGGTCATGCGGCGGCGGTGTGAAAGCGGCAATGGTCAGGTCCGGCTCCGCGTTGCCCGCCGCCGGAGGGGGACGGACGGCCGACGAATCGTTGTTCTTTGCGTCGCGGCAAACGACGCGTCGAGGCCCCTCTGAAGGCGTTACTGTGGAGCAGCAGGTCAACGGCGAAGGTAGTGATGGATGGTAAGGGGCCTTGCTTCTGGCCCAACATTCGTGCTAGAGGACTCCTTGGGCGAAAGCCTACCGATGGCGACACCTGTGGGTGCCGCTTTCCCTGTTGGGGGCGTTGTGTATCCCCTCTAGCACTATCATCCAAGGGTGAAAGCCCGGTCCACTTTGGACGTGCGACGGTGGCGCCATCGGCGTCGCTACCTTCCTGAAGGCGTCGCGTTTGGATTTCGTCGTGGCCTCTATGTCTCCTCGGTGATTGTTCTTTGCTTCTTGGCGCCTCGATGACGCGTGGAGGCGGGTCTTGCTGCGAGAAGTTGAAGCTGCCGCGTCAGGGACGTGGCTCGGCAACGATGACACGCGGCGAGCCCCCACCTTCATCGTAGGCTGGGTCTGCTAGGGTCAACAAGCGCTAGAGGTAAGGCGTGTGGCCGTGATTGGAAGTCGGAGCTGCTCTTTGCGGGGTGCTTGAGCTTGGCAATGATGACCGGTTACGGCCGCTTGCTTCGGGCTCGTTGGTGGGTGGCTTGTGTGTGGACTGCCATGAGAAGTCAGAGCTGCTGACGTCTTCAGCCATGCTCGGCAACGATGACCCATGATAGTGTGCCGTGTTAGTGCTCAGCTGCGTCGTGTGGGTTGGTTAGACTATCGGTGCCCTTTTTAAAATCCTGTTGGCTAATCCTCTTGTACATAAATTCTTTCGTCTTAGTTGAGCGATAGAGCTCCTACCTTTATTTAAAAAAAAAAGCCTGCGCTTCCTCAGCCTGTACAAAGTTCCAAAATTCCCAGTGACATTCACCACCGGGTCCTCCCAAAGTGCCCCACGCCACGCCTCACAGAATAACCCAACAACCAAGAGAAGCAAGAGATCGCATCCTAGTCAGCTAGTAATCTATATATCATAATATCCCTTGCTGCTTACTGTATCGCCAGTTCGCTTCCTGCCGGCTACATGCTAGCTCCCATACGCAGCAGCATCAGCATCCTGGGTCCGAGGGAATATGCCTTGGCCGGGCCCCAGGATGCGTAGCGGGTCGAACCGGGCCTTGCGCTCCGCGAACCGCTCCCACCGCCGGGCGAAGTGCTGGTGCCAGCCGGCCCGGGTCGGGTGGTGACCCAGGTACTGCTTCGCGCCGAGGCGTGCTCCCGCGGTGTCGGCGATCCGGCGGTGGCGGCGGAGAAGCTCTTGAAGGCAGTGGTGGGAGCATCCATCTTCAGGCTCAGGGTTGGCGGAGCGGAGGATGCCAACCACGTACATCACCCGGTCCGTGGACCCGGAAGAATCCGGTATCACCACTGACGTGTTGGTGTCCCACCTGTCCCAAGGATGAAGACAGCAACGATTTTTAAACCTTGATAGAGTACTTATTAAGACCTACTAATGAGAAATCATGAATGAATTTAAAACAGGAGCAGAAAATCATATATGTAGCCGACATTTCTGCAGTTCAGTGTATTCTGACTCGAGAGACTTTTGTTTTAGTGGTTTCTAGAAGTCTCCGTTAGGCCTATAAACTATACTAGTCCAGTGCGGTGAACATGGATCTTTAGGTCACGACTCTGATCTTTTGTTAAAGCTCAATCAGTTCAGAGTTGACAATGGGATGCAATCTAGCACATATATATTTAGACCCCTTTTGCATGCATGTAAACTATTCTAAATTTATTCGGAGGATATGAACTGAACATATATATATAACAAACGCTACCATCTGAGGTCAATGAATGAAATCATGTAACATTTGTTTCCCATACCCAACCACTGCCTTTAGAAATGTGAGCAACGTTTTGCATCTTCCCAATTGAATAACATGTGCTAAGTCAAATATAAGTTTATGATGTTCCATCTGGACACATGTAACTATTTATTGCGCAATGGAATAAGCAAACTTATTATCTTCACATATACAAACAATACGCACACAAAGAATACTTTTTATATGGCAATAAAAAAATCAAGATTCCAAAGATGAGCTACTATGTTTATAATTTCCCTGTTGCTAGTTTGCTACTCCCTCCGTTCCAAATTATAGGTCACTTTGACTTTTTTTTACATCTATTTTGTTATACATATAGATAAATAATATGTCTAGATATATAACAAAATGAATGAATAAAAAAATCAAAGCGACTTATAATTTGGAACGGATGGAGTACCATATAGTTCAAGGTTTCACTAAAAAAAAGATGCTACTGATTGAGTTCAGTTATAGTTTTAGTTGAATCATACAACGCTGATGACAGATGCGATTCTGTTTGAGGGACCACAAGTAAAAACATGATACAAATAACCATTCGTGGCAATCAACTAGTATGAAGTCACTGTAGCCGTGGACTTTGTAACAAAAGTGTTGTGGACAGAACTCTCCAAAAAAAAAAAAAAGGTACCAAGCGGCAATAAACAGCTGCTCTCATATTCTCGTCCTTGCGTCAAATGTGTGCTGGAAGCAAAGGCTGCAGCATATCTGCTGCACTGAACTGCAAGCCTCTACTACACCCACCCCCCAAGAAGTTCGATTTCTCAAAGGAATGCTGATGAATAGCTGCTTTAGATCTTAAGTGGGGCAGGCTTCATTTATGAAACTATGTTCTCTTCATGAGAACTTTAGAACACCCTTAACAATAGAGCTAAACTACTACAACCTCTGTCTTAAAATAAATCAATTTCTCAAACTATCTTAAGTTTAACCAACTTTTAGGAAAGAGTAACATCGTTAATAATATCAAACAAATATATTATAAAAATATATTTTTTTTTATACACATAGTGATACTAATTTAGTGTCATAAATATTTATGCCTTTTTCTATACATTTATTTAAAATTCAGAATATTTTAACTTAAGGAAACTCTAGAACTTAATTTATTTTCGAACAGAGGTATACCTATTTGAGTGCCGATTCATTGTGTATCCCACGTGTAAGAATTTTTTTCATTCAATTGCCCTGTTCGTTTATCTTATAATCCGTCTTTTTCAGCTTGTTTTTTTAGCCGGAACAGTGTTTTTCTCTCAAATAAATCAATCGGAACAGTATTTCAGCTTTTTTTTTTTTCAGCGAAGCGGACGAGGCCAATGTTTTTGTTTTGTTGCTCACTCTCGCAGTCTCCGTCCTACTCCCAGCTTCTATATGACGTGGGTCCCATGAGCGCCTTTGGAAGCATGCAAGACAAGCTACAAATCAGTCGCTAGCGTTTTACGTTTCAACTTTTGTATACACGCTCGCTCACCTCCACGTCAGAGCCGCCGGTGACGTCGACACCCGTTGGCCCTGCTCTCAGCAGAGCTGAATACAGAAGGCAAATGATAAATGACCCATAGAAGAAAGAATAGAAGACCACGAAGGCGGTGCCTCCGCACTGAAATATGTACGGTCTATACCATTGTCTATTGCTGGTCGTACAAAAATACACCAACATGCTAAGCAAAACGGATTATCCCTAATGCATGATGAGCCCACACTGATCACTTTTCTCGCCACTGCATCATCTAAAATAGCCTGTTACTACAGCACAAGGAGGCAACTTGCTGGATAATGCAAAAAATGCTTGTCCAACTTGGACTTCTTGGAAGCTAATGAGGTGAGCATGAAAGAGGGATTAATAAAACAGATACCTTTTTTTTCCTTTGCAAATAATGCTTTCAGGAAAGCCGAAAGTAGGCGTATCTTCATGGATGTACTATATATAACTTTGTGTTATGGTTAAGAAGAGTGATACTACTTACTTGTCTCTGAGGAGTGGGTAGATGAGGATGAGGCCCTCAAAGCTGTCCGGCGAAATGTTGTCCATGAGCAGATCCCTGAAGTCAGCGACCCCGGCCTTTGGCACAAACATGTTGAGCCATGGGTGGTGTACCTCCCATAGCCCCACGCTCCTCAGGCTCATCTCCTCCATCCTGACCCGATTCAGGAAGTCGAAGTAGGACACCTCCACACTGTACAACTGGGACACCATGTGGCTCATCTGCCTTGAGATAACTTCCACAACCTGAAACAGATATGCATATTATATTAGTACAAAGCATCCCTAATAATTCTTGACTACCATTTTTGGGAGCTTACTTACATGGTGCACATTAGTGTTCTTGCGCTGGTAATCATGGACTGCAAACTCTATGCAGTAGTAGATCTTAGGGCTGTTCTTGGTGCCAAAATCTGGGTTGAAGTCCACGCTAGCAGGGAAGGCGATGGAGGAGCTGTGAAGGGATTGTTCATTCAAGACGATGAAACCTTCCACGTAGTCCACCAAATCCGGAATCGACACCAGCAACTCCTGGTCCCTGGTGAAGATGCTGAAATCATCATAGAAGGCCCTCACCCACGTCACCTATATATATTTATTCAAAAGTTGTTCAGTTATTATTATAGCAGACATCAGAGTCTTGACATACACAACTAATGCAATAATAGTAATAATACGTATGCCATACTAATTAACTAAGATGTACGGAACAGTTGTAAGACAAGGCAGGCAGCATACTTTCTGTGGAGCTTCCTGCAACAGGATCCTGGCCCTGGTTATGATGCCGAACTGGCCAAGGCCTCCCAGAACGGCATTGAACAGATCGGCGTCCTTGCTGGGTGAGCATTTCACAATCTCCCCTCGTCCTGTGAAACCCAGAGAGAGTAACAGGAAAAAGAAAACTACTGCCCATCAGTTAAAAAGAGCTGAGGTTGGTCAAGAAAGACACAGCCAAAAAGGCAAAACCAAAATCTGATCCTTTTGTTTCATTCACCATGCAAGTGTGATGTGTCTCACCTGTGACTACCTCCAGCTGTAGAACGTTGCTGATCTGAGGCCCGTGCTTAAATGTCTGCCCGCTGATCCCAGCATTGGACAGCGTTCCGCCAACGGTGAGATAGAGGTAGTCAGTCCATGACCTCGGAGCCAGCCCGAGCTTAAGGCTCTGCTCCAGGAGCTCTATCCACATAACCCCACCGCTCACATCGGCGTAGGAAACCTGTCCTTCTCCTCCTCTGTGGAATTCTATCTCGGCAGGCAAGGAGCGCATCTCCACCACAATGCCATCTAGAGCCTGAGCCTGCCCATGGATGGAGTGGCCTGCTCCCCTGGCTGCCACCGTGACCTTGCTCAGAGACGAGCCGGAGAGGAAGCTGAGAAGCATGGAGATGTCCCCTGACGACTGGGGCCTTAGCACTGCGGCTGGAGAGTGGAAGAGTATCCTGCCGAAATCGCTGGACGCGGTGGTGGTGGTGGTGGGGAGCAGGTTCAAGGGGCCGAAGTCCATGGGGCTTTGTATGAATTTGTATGGAGAGCAGAGGGAGAGGATGAGGATGAGCAGGCTGGCTCTTGTGCTGACCATGGCAACCTCCATGGAGATGGAGTGAGCAATTCCTGCAGCTGCTTCTCGCATCAAGCAATATAGAGGGTGGTAAAAGCAGAGGGGATGCGTTTATTACCTTGTCTTGTCACCACAACGTGTAGGATTGTGATGGCGGTGGGAGGAGATCAGATGATCATATTGCTTTGATCTTGCCCTTTGGGCAAAGGCCAGGGATGAAGACAAATGAAGGCAGGGTTGAGGGATCTTAAAGGAGCAGGAGAAGGCACTCACTGATCAGCCGATGAGGTGGTGATTTGAGGTTTTAAAAGGGGTTTCATGTCATGAGGAGAGAAAAGGAAGCAAAAGACCAAAGACAGAAGCTGTCACATACCCAAAAAAAGGCCACCATGTGATCCTCAGCCCTCTCAGTCCCTCTCCCCTCGCCCCCTGTGACAAAGAATGCCTGAGGGCAGGGCAGAGCAGTGGAGGGCTCTTTCTCTCTCTCTCTCTCTCTTCTCTCTTCTGAAGTGAGAAGGGGAAGCTGTGACTCTGAAGCAGGCGAGCAGCTGAAACAACCGGCGCAATATAAATGGAGGTAGATTAAAGAGGACAAGCCTGAGGCTCCCTGTCCCTGCCAAAAGACAAGGGCAAATACAATACAGGCCACACTGGTCACTGCACTCTCTTTTCTGTTTCGGAAGAGGAACTGTGCTCAAACACCTCCATGTGATCAGCTATCTCACTCCTCTCACTATCAACTCTCAAGTATTGAGCTCAATGGACCCAAAATAAAGGTTTAAGTATGCATTCAATAATATCCATTTATGACGTATCACACATATAGAAAATGAAAATGAAACAAAATATCGTTCTCAGATTTATGAACCCGGGGAGCAAGAGGAAAGCAGAACCAACCATTTTTTTCGCTGCCCCGTTGCTCTAATCCATCTAAACAGTATTTTAAGGAGAGCCTATCGTCCTATTCGTTTAGGCTTGTTGACTTATAAGTCGTATTTTTTCAGCTAACGAACAGTATTTTTCTCTCACGCCAAATCAACTAGCAACACTTTCAGCCATAACTTATCAGTCAAACAAGCCCAAACGAGCAAGGCGTGGGTCCTAGGTCCTCCTGTTGCACTTGACATCCGTCACCAGCTGGGCACAATATGGCTCACTCTAGATACCAAATCTTTTGGAGGGTTACTGTTGTGTAATACTGTTCAGAGGGCCCTAGACTCACTTATGATTAGGGATGAAAACGGTACGGATATTTTCCGACCGTATTCGAAACCGAATCCGTTTAGAGGGGTTGAGATCTGTCCGTATCCAAGTCCGGATATCCAACATCCGATAGCGTATCCGTATCCGAATATTCAAATCGCATATTTATGATGTCGATATCCAATCGTATCCTATCCGACATAATTGACACTATCCGTATTCGAATCCGAATCCGGACAGAAATATGAAAATAAATGTAATATCGGTGATATCCGTCCGTATCCGATCCGTTTTCATCCCTACTTATGATGATTGGCCACCACTTAAGGCCAAGGAGAAGGAGCCCATGGATTGTGTGGCTGGAAACCATGAGCTCGCATGCAACTAACAGGCAAGGGTGAGGACTGAGGACATACTCCATTTGTTTCAGGAAGGAAATCAGAGACCAAAAGATCTAAACGAAAACAAAGTCCCCCTTTTTTTTTCTTTCTGAAGGGCACCGAGACAATTAACTAAGACCTACATCTCGACTGATAATAAATATATTGGCATCTAGTTGTTCAGAAAACAAAAGAAGACACAAACTTTTGCTGACCTTAGGACGACACGGCAAAATTTTTATGGTGTCCGAGCACTGTTTATCTAATACGGAGTATAATACTTTCTTGGTTCTAAATTATAAGATATTTTGGCTTTTCTAGATATATTACTTTTATTATACATCTAGATTCTAGATATAGTGCATATCTAAATGCATAGTAAAACATATGTATCTAGAAAAGCCAAAACATCTTATAATTCGGAATAAAAATAATACCATTTTTACCCTCCCAATTTGTATCAATAATAAGCTAGCTAATATTATATATTCATCATGCATAAAAATGAATGGAAAAAGTCCAAAATACCACCCTCAAGTATGGATTATGTCCACATAACTAGGGCTGGATATCGAGCCAGCTCGAACGGGCTCGTTAGGCTAACGAGCCAGCCGGCTCGGCTCATTAATATTACGAGCTAGAGGGGCAGCTCAGCTTGGCTCATTAGCGAGCTCGAGCTGGCTCGTTTAGCTCGTGAGCTACTAAAAGAATAGGACATGCATGTTTATAATGTTTATACCACAATAATTCCAGAAGGTGACATCCACCGTTATGCAACCATACATGATTAATACATATCAGGTTCATCAAAAGTATCAATCATGTAACATAGCTGATTCATCCATGATCCATATAGTTCCAGTATACTTACTGGTTGCTTGTCACCATAGACTTAGGAAAGTCCACAAATTTAATGTCAGCATCATCATCTTCTCCCTGGAAAACAATCCATAAATCAACATTTAAGTACCACAACAATTATAAAATCAAAATTCATATAAAACAGCTGAAAATAAGGATTACATATCAATGGAATAGGTGTACACTTCTAGGTCAGCATCATCGTCTTCTGGATTCATGGTCGTGGGCTGATAGGCCTCAGCTCATTTGAGCTCGTGAGCAGCTCGCGAGCTGGCTCGTTAAAATAGCGAGCTAGACTTTCAGCTCAGCTCGTGAAAAAAGTTAAAACGAGCCGAGCTGAGCCGGACACGAGTCGAGCGAATTAGCGAGCCGCGAGTATTTTGTCTAGCCCTACACATAACCCCCTAAACTATTGTTTGGTTCGGCAAATTTTTAAATTACAATTTAACTTGTATGTAGAGAAATGAAAAGCACAAATCTTGATAAGGGGTAAATTAGACCAACTAAAATAGTTAAGGGGGTAAACCGAACTAAACGATAGTTTAGGGGTTATCTGGACATAAGCAATACTTGGAGGTAGTAATTTGGATTTTTTTTTCAAAATGAATTGCCTAAGCTCACAAATGATTTTATATATATTAAGTTCTTAATGTTGGGTTTTCTTCGTATGGAAGCAATAGGCCGCAAGAGAATATAATCTAGTTAGATCATTAGCAATTCCAAGAATAGAATCCGAGAACAGTATGCGACATCAAAAAAATTGCCCCGTTGCTCTAATACATCTGAACAGTCTTTTAAGGAGAGCCTATACTATACTCCTGGATCCTGGGTCCTGTTACACTTGACATCCATCACTAGCTGGGCACAATATGGCTCACTCTAGATACCAAATCTTTTGCAGGGTTACTGTTGTATAATACTGTTCAGAGGGCCCTAGACTCCCTTATGATGATTGGCCACCACTTAAGGCCAAGGAGAAGGAGCCCATGGATTGTGTGGCTGGAAACCATGAGCTCGCATGCAACTAACAGGCAAGGGTGAGGACTGAGGACATACTCCATTTGTTTCAGGAAGGAAATCAGAGACCAAAAGATCTAAACGAAAACAAAGTCCCCCCCTTTTTTTTCTTTCTGAAGGGCACCGAGACAATTAACTAAGACCTACATCTCGACTGATAATAAATATATTGGCATCTAGTTGTTCAGAAAACAAAAGAAGACACAAACTTTTGCTGACCTTAGGATGACACGGCAAAATTTTAATGGGGTCCGAGCACTGTTTATCTAATACGGAGTATAATATTTTTTCGTTATAAATTATAAGATGTTTTTAGTTTTTCTAGAAATATTACTTTTACTATACATCTAGATTCTAGACATAGTGCATATCTAAATGCATAGTAAAACATATGTATCAAAAAAGTCAAAACATCTTATAATTTGGAATAGAGAGTACCATTTTATACCCTTCCAGTTTGTATCAATAATAGGCTAGGTAATATTATATATTCATCATGCATAAAAATGAATGGAAAAAGTCTAAAATACTACCCTCAAGTATCGATTATGTCCACATAACTAGGACCGGATATCGAGTCAGCTCGGCTCGGGACAGCTCGAGCTAGCTCGTTAGGCTAACGAGTTAGGCTCGTTAATATTACGAGTTAGAGGGCCAGCTCAGCTCGAGTCGTTAGCGAGCTCGAGCTAGCTCGTTTAGCTCGCGAACTACTAAAAGAATATGACACACATGTTTATAATGTTAATGCCACAATAATTCCAGAAGGTGACATCCACCATTATGCAACCATACATGATTAATACATATTAGGTTCATCAAAAGTATCAACCATGTAACATAGCTGATTCATCCATGATCCATACAGTTTTAGCATGCTTACTAGTTGCTTGCCACCACAGACTTAAAAAAGTCCACAAATTCAATGTCAGCATCATCATCTTCTCCCTGGAAAACAATTCATAAATCAACATCTAAGTACCACAATAATTATAAAATCAAAATTCATATGAGACAGCTGAAAATAAGGATTACATATCAATAGAATAGGTGTACACTTCTGAGTCAGCATCATCATCTTCTGGATTCATAGTCGTGGGCTGATAGGCCTCAGCTCGTTTGAGCTTGGAAGCAGCTCACAAGCTGGCTCGTTAAAACAGCGAGCTAGACTTCCAGCTCAGCTCGTGAAAAAGTTAAAACGAGCCGAGCCGAGCCGGACACGAGTCGAGCGAATTGACGAGCCGCGAGTATTTTGTCCAGCCCTACACATAACCCCCTAAACTATTGTTTGGTTCGGCAAATTTTTAAATTAAAATTTAACTTGTATGTAGAGAAATGAAAAGCACAAATCTTGATACGGGATAAATAAATTAGATCAACTAAAATAGGGGTAAACCGAACTAAACGATAGTTTAGGGGTTATCTGGACATAAGCAATGCTTGGAGGTAGTAATTTGGATTTTTTTTTCAAAATGAATTGCCTAAGCTCACAAATGATTATATATATATATATATATATATATATATATATATATATATATATATATATATATATATTATAAGTTCTTAATGTTG